GTTAAAATGTAAAAAAGAACAACCTATGTCTGAGTGCTTCCCCAAACTAACTACTGTATGAGATTCCTGAGAGTAGGGAGTAGGTGGCTTTGATATTTTTTGAAAGCTTTACAGTTTATGGTCATGTCCAAGCTGGTTGGTGAACTGTCTAAAGCAGTACTTATTTGACTTCTATGTGTCTGCATCACTTGGAAATCTTAACAAACTGTAGATTCTGATTTAGGCATCTGGGATAGATCCTCACATTTATGGGTTTAACATGGAACTATGTGACCTTAACATTCCTATCTATGGACCACACTTGCACCTTATAACATTAGAGTCACCTGAGAACTTGTTGGAATGAAAGTTCTCAGACCTTCCCAGATACTTACCTACTTACAACTCAGATAGGTAGGAAGGTGGAAGTGGAAGTGAAGTAATTTGTTTTATAGAGCCCTAACCATAATTTAGATTCACACTCAAGTTCGAGAAACTCTGGACTAAAAAAAAATAAGTTCATTAAAATCTAAACAAATGGCCATATGTGACGGAAAAAATAATTGAAACTTCAGGATTGTGTAGCACTTTGCAATTCAAAAACTTTCCTGCTTTACCTCTTGTGAGCTGCTTTAAACAACTCTGTAGAGTAAAATAGATAATTCCAACACTTAGTAAATGCAACTGAGGGGCAGAATATGTAAGGGATTTGCTCACATGCAAGGATACATCCAAATTTAGAGCCCAGATTTTCTGAGACTTGCAAACTAACAGTTGGGACATTAACCAAAGAATAGGGCAAATGGGCGTAACCCATAAGTAATGGCCCAAGAAGGCTCGCATTGATGAGGGGAGCAGTTGATACAGGCAACCTCCTATCAGGTAAGTCACCGACATTTGTGTTTGGAGCTCTCAGAGACCAGAGCAAAATGCATTAATCCTGTTTAGCCTGAGTTTGTTATTATGTGGAATAAAGCTTCAAAAAACACAAATGATTAGCCCTCACCAACAGACTTAATCAACAAGTTAAGCACCTTTGATTGTTTTCTTCATAATTCTACACATAAGTCATTCCAAAATTACATACAACAGAAGAGTTGCCTTTGTTATGTACTGGACATATGTGTATACATACTTATGTGGCTCATACTTATAGAAAGTCAACAAACCATCACAATTCGTAATAGTCATATGAGATGATTTGCTTGCTGTGTTTCTTGGGCCATAAATGACAACAAATAATATAATTAACAGGTGCATAAATGTTCTTTAACAAAATGTATACAATGCAGCATGTCCATACATAATACATAGAATGCTGCATGCTATCATTTACCAAATATATTTGATAAAGGATTTTATGGACAATGGATGATCCTTAAAAAGTATCAGTAACACTCAAACAATTCTGATTATTGTTAGTGATTTAGCTACAGAACAAGAAAATTTCATAATTGCTACAAATTCCCTCAGTAGACCCATGCCCACAGTGTGTTCTCAAAGAGTGAATTATAAGTAGTAGCAAATCACATATTGTGGCAAGTTTGTTGGAGTGTTGACACTTTATTAATGAATGTAGGCGGCACAGATGCCTCATAGAAGAGAAACCATTCTTTTTCCTTGAAATTTGCAGAAAAATCTTTACATTTTATGTCAAATAGTCATTTCTTATTTATTTATTGTCCTTATTTATTTATTTCATTGATTGGGATTCATTGGGGGTCAAAGAATTCAGTTACAACGACTGTGTTTGATAGGTAGAGTCCCTCTTGTGAGTTGCTAAGTTAGGACTATTAAAATGACATCTTGAGGATTTGTTTACAACACTCCTATTTCCACTGTCCTTTGACTTACCAAGAAAACAACATGGTTTCAGCCTATCAAGATCATGCAGCAGTCTCTATGAGTGCCTGTGTGTGAGGGTGGAGGATAGAACAGCCAGTGGTAGAAACTCATCCAGTAATTGGTGAGCTGCTAAGGGAGGCTACTTCAGAACAAAGTCCTGTGGGTAAGTGTGTCTCACACTTTCCTGTGCATATAGATTCTGGTTCATTTCATCTAGGAAGGCACCCCAGGTGCTGCAGGTACCACTACTCTGTGGATCACATTTGGATTCTTTGTCTTTGGGATGAAAGTTGAAGTCGGGGTTTTCTTTAGCTCTTCATACAATTGCTCAAAAAGATCTTGAATCTCTTCTAAGGAACAACTAGGTTAGGTATGCACACTTGAGGCTATTTCCATTTCCCTCCAATTTTGTCACCATAATTCTATAGTTTGTTTGTTTGTTTTTTTCAACAAGGTAGAAATTACAGAACAAGACGCCAAGACTAATGTATACTTTCCAATCATGATGCACAATTATGTGAAAGATCATAATTATGCAACAATGAGCAATGATTCCCCAAAGAAACCCTTATTTCATGGAATGTTTAAGAAGTGAAGGTAGATGCTTTGGGCCAGTCGGCCAACTCTGGACCACCAGCATTGCAAACCTCTCTTGTCCTCTGCTGCCATTTTAGATTATTCAGGGCCACAGACTCACTAAGAGAGGACTTTTATTTTCTTCTAGCCATTTCACTTTCTCCCTGCCAAACATCTACTATGGCTTCCGATGAATCAAGTTCTCCTTCCTCTCCTTCCTTGGAAGCTCATGCACCCAGTAAAATGTCACAAAGTGGAAACGCGCCTTTCCCAGGCTGGACTTGTAAACAGAAAGCAAGAGCACCATTCTTCACCAGGAAATTGACCCACAAAGCTTACTGGATTCAGTTAAAGAAATCGAGAAGAAGGTCAGCTAAGAAAACAAAGAGAATTCTCTCCATAGAGAATTCCACCAACCCCAAAATAAACCTTTGTCCACAGCAAGGAAATTAAAAAGAGGGCATGTAAGGTGAGATCTGGTTAAGTAATAGACTCGCATAGGTGACTCATTTGCATGCTCTGTTGGTCTATTCCAGAGAATAAATGGTGCTGAGTTTATCCTCTTTTCTCACAACTTCTACTTCCACACCGTAATTTCAACCAAAGTGTAATGCTGTAAAAACTCCATTTTTTGAGCCAAAGACATACAGAAGCACATATATATCACATAAACATAAATATGTAATGAGTCTGCCTCTCATAGACAGAGGCTTCTATGCATTTATTGTATGAAAATATAAGAATCTCTTTATTCTTTTGAATTAACATTTGCATGCTTATCTAATTTAAATAACTGTAGTTTAAGATATAAGTGATGCTGAATTAGAAATACCGTACAAAGTTCATGGACATTTAAATAGAAAGCATATGCCTTCAGGATAGTCACTTGCCTCATATTCAATATTATAATCAGTGAAAAGATATTTCTAAGGCTTGCATAAAATTATATAGAGTGCTTTGCCAGTAAAGGGTTAATGACGTTCGGGAGTTTGAATGTTCACAGTTAAAATGGCATGCTTGTGTGTTTGCAAAAACATTTTCTGCATCATGTCCAAATCCCTTTGCAAACAGATAAATTACTCCATAAATCTTATTACTCCATGAGGATAAATCACACATGCAGGTTTACAAGGCCAGAGAGCTAGAAGGGAAAATCTGCTTCGGACAGTAGGGTCTTTGGGATCCATAATCACCCAAAGCTCAGGAAATGAAGAAAGGAGTTTCTTACCCATTAGCACTTTCTTACTTTTTACAATCTGGAGCAACACAGACACACAACACACCCACACACAACAAGCCCACAACACACTGTCTTCTCTAACAAGGGTAGGGATCCCAAAGCAGGATACTCTGTGACAGCCAACCAAATTTATTTCTGAGAAAAGGAAAGAAAACTTTGCTGCTGTCGGCAGCTTTGCTGGAGAACTGCTCCCTGATGCCCCAGGGTTTATGCACTATCAGCTTCTTACACACAGATTAGAGGTTTATTTTCTACCCTAGACTGCTTTTTATTCCCACAACAAGCAATATTAGCTAGATAGACAGACCGACACAGGGTCGTTTTATTTGGAGGAAATGAGATTTTAAAGTATCTCTAAGGAGAGCCTTATATTTCTTTCTGGAATTTTTCTTTTTGGGGGGGGGTGGGAGTGGGGGAGTCTGTGCCAGAAATCCAAGGAAAGCTAGGGAGAAGAACGAGGGATCTGTAGCATGGGAGGAGGGGGGAAGAGAGAAGAGACACACAGGGAAAGAAGCTTGGAGGTTTTTAGAAATAAAATTTTAACTAGGTCCCAGTTCAGTCCTTTAGCTCACTGTCCCTCATAGGGGTCAAACTTCCAAGGACTTGGGACTCTTCCTTTCCGAATTTCAATCTCAAATTATATTTCAAAGTTCGGCAGACCTGCACAGAAATATGACTTTGAAGTCCATAATTGATTTCAAATATCCATTTTATGCCACATTATTCTTTCCCCATCTCTGTGTTTAACACTCCTATTCTGAAATGCCAGCAATTTGGCACTTTTGTTCCTCTCCTCATTCTTGTGTGCCGAAAAGGCTCGGTGACTGCCCAAAGTTTTAAGATTGATTTATTGCCGTCTCTGTCAATTAGAAGATCCTTACAGAAAGTCTTCCTTCTATCAGAACTACTACTAGGGTGGAGAGAGAGCCCTGACACACACACACACACACACACACACACACACACACGGGGCAAGGAGGAGGAGGCAGTTCTGTGTACCACTCTCTGAGAGCCGTAATTCAACAATCCTTCTTTCCAAATTAAGGAACCCCAGTGAAACTCTGAAATGCCAGGGAACAGTGAATACGATAACAAGAATACTGTCCAAAAGTCACCAATGCCAGAGGTGAACTTGGGCTTCCTCGACAAGAGAAACAAGGTCCGGAAACCACACAGCTTTTAACTAGCACCACGGGTCCTTGACAGGGACCAACATTTCCTTGAATTTTGTGGCTGCTATAAGATCCACCAGTCAGCAAAAGACACACAGGACCCACGAGCCTGCAGCATCCAGAGCCGGAGTTCCAGATCAGGTACACACACACACACAGAGAGCAGAAAAGTTGCCCGAAAGCCCTACCTGAGGATGGCTGTGTCCCCCTGCCTCACGGTGATGTTGTCCGTGCCTCGGTTAAAATCCACGCTGCGAACAGGCAGTCCTGTGGGGAGAAGGCAGAGCAATCTCAGTAGGACCAGCGGCAACTGTTTCCGCTCCGGCTGAACTCTCCCGACCATGGTGGCCGCGCACTCCGGAGGGGCGTGCGCGCAGCTCGCGGAGGACCGGGCTTTACCAACGGGGGGCTCGCGTCCACGCCGAGGGCAGAGCGGGCGCTGCCAGTTTGCGGTCCTTTCCACTTTGCCTCTCTCTTTGCCTGGCTCAGGCGCTTTTCCCTCTAAGACTTAACAAAGCCCTCATCAAACCAAAGCAGGAGGGGGAAAAGTCAAAGGAGAGAGAAGGAGAGAGAGTGAGAACCAACAAACATAAAATCCTCTAGCAAAGATGAAGAGAAAGCGAAGGAGGGGGTTCCTGCCGGTCCCGCTGGCTGCTCCTCCGCCAGCGTCTGAGCAGAGCTCCTTCGCTCTGTAACCCACTTTCCAGGCTGGCAGCGGGCGGGCGGGCGAGGGAGCCGGCACGGAGCCTGCCAGTGAGCGTAAAGGCACAGCCACACAGCAGCAGCAGCAGCAGCGGCAGCCGCCCCAGGCTCTCCCCCTCCTGCCTCTCCTGTTTCTCCCTCCAGTCCCCGGCGCGCTCTGCTCAGCGCCTCCCTCCCACCCTGCTGGTTTTCAACAACCCCTCCACGTCATCCCTCCTCCCGCCCCTCGGCGTGGCCCCTCGCTTTGCACAACTGCCCCCTTCAGCAGCAGCCAGCCTCGCTGAAAGCCTGATGCGCCTTTAGGTTGTCAGGACGACAGCTCCATCTGAGGCCGGGCTGATTTCCTTAAGAAGGGGGAATGGAGCTGTTCAAGAGAGGGGAGAAGGGACTTATCCAGAAAGGAACAGGAGAAAGAATCAGGAGAGGAGAGGAGAGGAAAGAAAAGGAGATGGAAAGGAGAGATGCGAACCTTGACAAGTGGAGAGCGTGAAACAGGAGGACCGAAATCCACGGAGGTGGGGGCAGGGGGCCAAGTCCTGAAGGATGGGATAAGGAACCAGAAACTTGACAGTGGAGCCTGAGATTAAAAGCTGAAGTTCTTTTCAAACTCAGCATTCCTGGCAAGCGGCTTTTCATTCTTTCCTCTCTCCTGCACTTTCTTTTCCAGGATTAAAATGGTGTATTTTCTCTCCCCCTCCTTCATCCCCTCCCCCTCCTGGAACCCCCTTATGAAAGATGGATTGGAGACAATGCTGGTATTGAGTGGTCTGGGGTGTGAATGCTTGGCTTGTTTTTTCCAAGTGCCAGCCTCAGCAGCTGATCCCTGATCCCTAAATCAACCTCACTCTCCAGGAAACCTTCACCCAATCCCACAAATGAGTAATTTAAGGTTTATTGTTTAAACAGCATATTGTGGTTGCTATACAAGTTACTGCTGGACTGGCTTCTCAAAATGTTCATATGCAGGGAAGGAGATGTGGACGTCAGAATGCTTGTCATTTACAGGGAGATACTGAGGCTGCATACAACACTCCGGCAAATGGCAGAAGGTTACCATCATTTGTCACTCCTGCTACTCCAGGAGCTGAGCGAGTGATAAGGGACTAACAGCATTAGTCCCTCAAGTGGGAGCCCCAAACGCCTAGACATCTCCCCCACTACCCATGCTGAAGATGAAAGATTGGTTAGGACCAGCCAAGGACTTCTTTTCCTCTTTTTACATTTTATATACAAGTATCCACATGGTGCAAAAACCAAATGGTCCAAGCAGTTATAGAGTGAACTGTACTGTAATTTTTTCCCTATTCCTGTCTTTAGGCAACTAATTTCTCCTGTGGGAACACAACAAATATATTTTTAGTTTTGTAAACTTTTTTCATCAATTCCATACATATGCAAGTAAATTTATAAATATATATGGAGATATTATATCCATACCTTTTAAGCAAATATTTAGCCGAGGACACTGGCATAGACATATGTGTGTATATATATGTATACACACATATATATTTCCAGTATTTCATATGTGTGTATATATATGTATACACACATATATATTTCCAGTATTTCCCAAAGAAATATTGTACTGACACCCATCTTGTCCCCAGAATACTTAAAAATTTCTTTGCTTCATTTTATCAGTTTAAAAGGTAGATGAACTCTTACAGATTATGTGAGGAAAGGAAGACTTTTTATTTTTAAGAAATGACTAAAAGATTGGAATCGGAATTGTCATAAATTCATGATTGATAGAGTTCAATTAATTTCTTTTCTATTAAGTATTCTTTTTTTTTACAAATCAAGGTGTCCTATGTCAAGACTCATAAGCAATCCCCAGCTAACAGGCCAATGATATTCCACCACTGTAACACAGCTATTTAAAAGTTGGAACCTATTTGGTCACTGGAAAATGGTTAGGTCAAGCGGTTAGTTGAAGTACCAAATGCATAATCCTGTGATTTTCAGTATCACAGGAGTGGAAAAATGAGTTTCAAATGCTAAAAAGAGACACAAGGATTACAGAACCCTCAGCCAAGATTGCAGAGCAAAGCACATACTCCCTTTCCCCAACCACCAACAACGCTGACCTTCTTTGGAAGGCTTCTTCTAAACTCTTAGGAATAAAAGGTTAGCTTAAACAAAGGCTTACACACAGCACGTGTTCTTTGGTCAGAAGTATTTCATATTTCTCCAATATCAGGAGGAAGAAAAGAAAGACCCAAAGGACTAGGAGCTGCTAGAACCATTCTGGTAGAACTCCATCAATCATGAACTCCACCACTGGGGCGAGGAGAATAGATGACTCCTAGTAAGATCCTAGATACTCAGAGGGGAAAGATTAGGCATAGTAAGAGTATGAGTATCCTCTTGAGCCAGTGGACTCGATTTTGCATGAAGAAAGGAAAAAGTTCTTTCAGGACAAAAAAGAAGTGTGATGGGATGGTAGCATATTATTTACAGAAGATGTTAACACATGATTGTTAACTAATACCTCTACCAATAATCTCAAACGATTTGTAGAACTTTTCCTACATGTCTAACATACTGGAGTACAAAATAACTCACACCAAAGTAGTAGAAATGTGGAATGTATGGTCAGAGGTGGACTTTGTCTCTACAATCATTCTGAGAAAAAGACATACCGAGTTAATCCACTTATAAACAGAATCAGAATTATAATAGAAATGCCTAACCTAACAAGATAAATCACAAGTACATATTTATATAAAAGTCATATAATGCAATTAAAAGTTTTTTAAAAGTACCTTCATTAAATGAAGTACATTTCTTAGAAACTCGTTTTAAACTAAACTGACTTACTATGATAACTGAAAGGAAAACACCATTCAAAATCAATAGCTCAGATTAAAAAATCTCTAATTTTGCCTACTCAATAATTCTTTCTAATTCAATTGGACTTACTCAAAAATTCCCAAATTATGTAGTTTATTATATAAATCAATTATTTAATATGTATTGTTTACATGCATGTACTTGAAGTACAACTCTCTAACTCAGCCCTTGATGGGGGGTGGGGGTGGGGGTGGTAATCTACACGTGATGATACTAACAATGAAGAGTGACTGTTCACACCCACTCAGCTGTCCACAAACAAGGCTATTTGTGCGTGTACTATCTATTTCCATTTCAACATTATGCTATCTCAGAGTTTTTTCCTTTTCCCTCCCTCACTCAATCCTTCTGCTTTTTTTTTTAATCCTCCATGATCTCTCGCTTTT